CAAGAACGTCATTGGTTGAAGCCCTGACTGAACCTTCTGTCTTCTGTGTTTTCATCCGTCCTCTCGATCGTAATTCAATATGTTTTCATAGAGGAAAATGGAGCAGTACCACAGGAAGTTGTGGGGGGCAGTAGTGAGTGTAAATTGTGTCCTTACTGCTTAGGCTAGGCCCTGTTTACACGGCTGAGATACGTTAAAATATGACTACGTAGCCACTTAGTGCTTACACGGATCTGGCACAAGAAAATAGCTCCTGTAATACATATGCCAGACCTGTATGTGGCGCTGTATTACCCACGCTTTAACACACTAATGTTTAAAGAATTTGTAGAGTTCAGAAAAACAGAAAATAAAGCTTGTAAACTGTAAACAAACTCGAAAGAGAACAACGAAAACGCGGAGGTGGCTAACTGTAGCGCACCAAATAGCCAAAATAGCTAGCTAGAAGAGGCGTGGTCTCTGTCATTGTTATTGGGCGACTGGGTTGAAAGGTCTTGAACCTTTGAATACGTTTTACATCCAGATGATGAACGTTTCTGATTGGTAGTTGCAGTTGTTACTGTTGGACTATCGGATCTGTTTTGCTGCTCAAAAATCCCAAACTTTTTTGACAGTTATTCTTTGAGCCCGGAGTGAAATCTTCTGACATGTTTTTGACAAATTGACAGGAAACCCGTTGTCAGGCTGCTGCGTCACATTTTTATTTCACACCTCTGTGTTTGCAATACATCCTGTAATTACAGCGAGGCGCTCGTTCTCCCTCCGCCCTCACCTCCATCCATTCTGCAGGAGCGTCAGCGCGGCCTTGTTTGAAAGCTGAGCGTGTTTACCTGCAGAAGCGCTTTGCTTTGTCTCCTGTCTGCTTCAAAAATAAATAAAACCAGTCTCTCCTGGCCGGACAAATTTCCGACATTTTTTCCCGTACGCGGCCTGAGCGATTGAACCTTCTGTGCTTTTGAAAGGCGGAGATGAAACAATGAGCGTCGCTCGAGAACAGCCCTGTGGCGTTCACCGCAGCTCTGCACCGAGAACATTTAACAAAGAGAAACAGCCCATAATGATTAAGGCCACGGAGCGCACACACACACACACTCACACACACACTCACACACTCTGTGGCTGATCCATGTCTTCAGTTTATCATGGAGTGAAGTCTGTGATCCGTCAGATGAATACGTCGGTGCTGGCAGTGCAGCAGGTCCGACACAGTCGTCGGACAGAACTGTCGACCTGGTGTTTGTGTTGTTGACCTGAGGCTTCGAAGATCTAGAACTTTCCCAGTAGATCAGAAACTTTGCCTTCAGGTACGATCTCTCTCTCTCTCTCTCTCTCTGCCTCCGTCTCCATGTTTCAGTCTGATCTTCTTCTTCTTCTTCTGTGGTGTTTCCATCAGAGACTTCCTGCTCTGGAGGGATGACCTTTGACACCAGGTCACGACCTTGTTATCTGAGGACTGAAATCCACTTCTTTTAACTCTTCTTTCAGTAAAAAGAAAAGAAGCAATTCCGGTGGTTTCCGTCCTCGACCATCACCACCTTCAACTAAACTCAGTGACCGACTAATCTAATCTGATACTGTAGTCTAATCTAATTCTCTCTAATCTGATTTCATCTACTCTATAGTTTAATCTAATCTACCCTGATCTACTCTGGTTTTATCCACTCTAATCTAATCCAATCTACTACAATCTAATATAATCTAATATACTGCAGTCTAATTTAATCCTCTCTAATCTTATTTAGTCTAATCTGATGTTATCCACTCTAATCTAATCTACTTTAATCTAATATAGTGTAGTCTAATCTAATCCTCTCAGATCTGATTTAATCTAATCTGATTTTATGTTCTCTGATCCACTCTAATCTGATCTAATCTGATCCACTCTAATCTAATCTGATCTAATGTAATCTGATCCACTCTGATCTAATCTAATTCAACGTTGGATGAAGACGTGATGTGGTTGTTGTTTAACCCCAGGGGTCAACTACAGGTCATTAAAGTCACGGTGGTGAAACGGTGAAAACCGACGTCACGAATCCATGAAGTCGAATCGTCGTCACTTATTTTTACAGCTGACATAAAACCAGGAGTTTTTTTTTTTAATGAACCAGAACTCCTGCTGTCGCCACAAGGACAGAATGATGAACCACCCCTCCCTCCCTCTCTCCCTCCCTCTCTCCCTCACTCCCTCTCTCCCTCCCTCCCTCTCTCCCTCCCTCCCTCTCTCCCTCACTCCCTCCCTCTCTCCCTCCCTCCCTCCATCTTTCCTCTATAATAAAATGTCTCCCACCTCTGAGATAATATATCACA